GCCGGCTCGGGCTCACGGGGCTCGCGCTGGGCCTCGCGCTCGCGGTGGTCGCGCTCGTCGTCGCGGGCCGCGGTCCCGGCACGGCGGCGGGCCTGGTCACCGCCCTGCTCGCGGGCCTCGTCGCCGCGGCGGGCGTGGCCGTCGGCGCGGTCTGCGCCCGGTCGTTCGGCGAACCGGGCGCGGGCGCGGTCTTCGCGGTCGGGGGCGCGCTGACGGCCGGGGTGTGCGGGGTCGCCGCCGTCCCCGGGCCTCCGGGCACCCTCGGGGTGCTCGCGCCGTCCGCGCCGCACCTGCTCCTCGGTGCGGTGCTGACGACCGTGACGGCCGTCGCGGCCCTGCTCGTGCTGGGCTCGGCCGCACGCGGCGGCCTGGCCGCACTGGTCGCGGTGGCGGGCGCGGGGAGCGTGGTCGCCCTCGTCGCGGGCGTCGCGACGCTCGTCGGCGCGGACGACCCGGCGGCGCTCGCCGCGGGCGCGGGCGCCACGACGCTGGTGACGGCCTCGTTGCTGCCCCGGGCGAGCATCGCGCTCGCCCGGCTGCCGCTGCCCCAGATCCCCTCCTCGGCCGAGGAGCTCGCCGACGACCCCGGGGTCGCCGAGCACGCCGTCCTCGAGCGGCGCACCGACCGCGCGCACGCCGCCATGACCGGCCTGCTCACCGCCTGCGGCGTCGTCACGGCCGGGGCCGTCGCCGTCGTCGCCGCGTTCGCCCCCGACGGCAGCCGCGGGGTGTTCGCCTGGGCCCTCGCGGTCCTGCTGACCCTGCTGCTGGCGCTGCGCTCGCGCACCTACGCGAACGGCGCGCAGGCCCTGTCGCTGCTCGTGTGCGCGCTCGTGGCCGTCGTGGCCCTCGCCGGCGGCGCCCTGGCCGCCGTCGGCCCCGGCGTGCCCGCGCTCGGCTTCGTCGTCGCCGCGCTCGCCCTCGGCACCGTCGCGCTGCTGCTGGGGACGGCCGTGCCGGGTCGACGGTTCTCCCCGGTGGCCCGGCGCGCGGTCGACCTCCTCGAGGCCGTCGCGATCGCCGCCGTGCTGCCGGTCGCGCTCGCCGTGATGGACCTGTACACCGCGATGCGCCTGCTCCCGGGCGGGTGAGCGCACCTATGGCGGCGACCCTGCGACGCCCGCGCGGCTCGCCCGCTCCGGCCCCCGTCCGCCGGCGGCCCGTGGGGCCCTCCTTCGGCCCGGTGCCGCTGGCGTGCGTGGTCGTCGTTGAGGTCGGCCTGGCCGTCGCGGTCGTCCTCGTCGCCCTCGACCGCGCGCTGCTGCCGGTCGCCGGGGTCGTCGTGTCACTGGCCCTGCTGGTGGGCCTGCTGCGCCGACGGGGGCGCTGGGTCGTGCGCTGGATCGCGCTCGGGATCCGGTTCCGGCTGCGGGCGCGCTCGCGCACGGCCGAGCCGATCGGCGCCGACACCGATGCGCGGCTGCGGGCGCTGCGCCTGCTCGCCGGCGACGTCGTGCTCGCCCGCGGCCGCGACCACGACGGGCGCGAGGTCGGGCTCGTCGGCCACGAGGGCGCGTGGAGCGCAGTGCTCGCCCTCGACGCGGCGACGCTCGACGGCGCCGGGCTCGTCGTCGCCGACGGCGGTGCGCCGACCTTCCCGCTCGCGGCGCTCTCCGGCGCCCTGTCCGACCGCGGGGTGGTGCTCGACGCGATCTCGGCGATCTGGCACTGCCGCTCCGCCGCGACGGGACCGTCCGACGACAGCCCGGCCGTGGCCGCCTACCGCGAGGTCCTCGGCCCGCTGCCGCCGGTCGCCCGACGCGAGGCCCACCTGGTCGTGCGCCTCGACCCGACCCGCTGCCCCGACGCGGTCGCCGAGCGCGGCGGCGGCGTGGTCGGCGCGCACCGGGCGCTGATCGGTGCGCTCGCCCGCGTGCGGCGGGTGCTCGACGGGCACGCGACCGCGATGCGCCCCCTCGACGCCGACGAGGTGCTGCGCGTCGCCGCCGACGCGGCGGGCGTGCGCGAGGCCGCCCACGCCGGCTCCCTGGCCCTGCGCGAGCACTGGGGCGCGGTCGTCGTCGGGGCGCGCGGGCACGCCGTCTTCGCCGTGACCGACTGGCCCTCGGCCGGCGAGCCCCTCGCGCTCACGGCACTGACCGGTACCGCCGCGGAGTCGACGACGCTCGCCCTGACCCTCGGGCCCGGCACCGACGACGAGGGCGCCGAGGTGG